CCGTGAGGCATGCAAAGCGCCAAGTAACGGTTGTGGAAAACCTCCAATTTGGTTCTTTCATGTAGATGTCCAACTATGAAAGCATTTATTTTGCTGGGCAAAACCGCAAAGTGAGTATCTGGACCTCAAATCATCTGTATGTTTCCAGGACATGGAACTGAACCACATCGTTTTCGCCATGATGAAACGCAAAACGGCAGCAGATGCATTGACAAAAGAGTGTGAACCTCGTTTCTACTGTATCGTCCTTGTTTTTGTTGGCTCGTCGCCGGTGTCATTTCCAGTGCGTTCAGCAAAAACCCTCCCAGTCATTACCATCGTTGTCAAAGTAATCCACTACAACTTGTTGTCCAATCAACATCTGATTGAATTGAAGGAGAGAGTGTCGCGGTGTCTTGAATCATAGCTTTGTTTTCTACACTTGTGATTTGTCGGCATTGTTTGGCATATTTCCGACCCTTCAAACACCCTTAGCGTGTTTTTTCCGCACGGAATACCTCCGACCTTTTGAAGACGGTTTTGGGGTCCATCTACCACGATGGTTTCGAGCGTTTTGCGCCACGGGTGGTTCAACGACTGTTTTTCGTTTTTGGTCGCCACGGGTCACTAGAGCCTTGGAGCCTTGGAGGTTTTGGTTCGCTCAGGTGCTTCCCCGACGAACGGGCACAGGGAAAAGACGATTGAACGAAAAACGGATAGCAATGGCCATCGACAAGTGAATTGCTATGGCCATGGATAGCTACCAGTGCTACCAGGAGCAAGGACGCTACTAGGGGCTCCTGGCCGTACTATTAGGAGCAGGTAGCTACTAGTAACAAAAGCTACTTGGGGCTCCTGGCATCGCTACTATAGGAGCGTTCGGACGCTAAGCCTATTCTCTTCCAAGTTCACCGAACCTGCGCGTGTCGAAGAGCGGAGCCGCCTCGCGCGGCTCGCTCGCGTTTCGCTCACGACACAGGTATGCCCACGGAGACCTGGCCGCATCCGGGATGGGGTGGAACGACGCTCGATCTAATCGCAAGCAGGTTGGTGGTTACAGGTCAGGTTGATGTACCAGATCAGTGAGTTGATCCCGAGTCGAACTCTGAGGGGTGTGGGTCGCGGAACCCGCTCGTGCTCTTCAGCTGATCTGCTGGTGTTTGGGTCCTTCAGGTGAAGCATATCTTCGAAGGACCTTCGAGGCGGCCCTTGGGGGTGCGACTCCGAAAGCGAGAAAGCGAGGGGAGATTTTTGGACGTCGTTTTTTCGTGCGAAGGTCCGAAGATGGAGTGGGGGATGGCGGCAAAAGAGGAGGTGGGTGTCTATTTGAAGAGGGAGACCGGGCAGACAGGTCCTAGCGAGTTTGGAGGTCTCCGAATTTGGAGCTACACACCCAGCTGGTGGAGCGAGTTTCTTGCTTCGTTGGAGTTGGAGTGGAACTCGTGCTGCGGGGGTTCTGAAGTCCAGCCGAATGGCGCGGCCGTGTCAACCGCCACAGGACGGGCGCCGTCGTCAGAAAGGTCGGCTGGTGCGGAAGCTCGGGAGATGCTGAGAGCGGTGGCTTCAGAAGAGACGTAAGGAATGGACATAAAGAAACGAAGACACGCCGTGCCATGACATGCTGCATGGGTTTCAGGTCGTTTCGAGCCATTCGTTCGTTTTTTTTGGTATGGCGCCAGTGTAGCTTGAAGGATTCCTCGAAGCAGGGCCTGGCAGACATGACACGACTGCACCTTGCCGAGTGACACGGGTCATGTCTTTCCCGAGTCTGTAGGCTCATGGGCTCACCACCCGAGGCGAATGGGCTGGGCGATGCCTGAGGAGCAACGGATGGTCTATCCACCGGAGAGTGGGGAGACATCACTCAAGTGGTGGCTTACACCTGGGTTTGAGGGATTTCGTTTGGTCTTCATAACACTTTGAGTTAGGGATCTTTTTAAAAAATGGGCTTCAGGGCCCTATGGCCGCCACTATGGCCCCATGGCCGATGCGAGCCATGAGGGGGAAGCCCCATGGTGGCATTGAAAAGGTGGCATCCGATCATTCGAGAAAAGGTCGGTATGGGCAACACATCCGGGTTTGCAGGAGTCAGTGAGAAGACTGCGAGAATGATTTGACCGTCAATTCGCTAGCTTGGAGCTCTCACTTGTCATCAATGAATGGGGAGATAAAGCAATCAACATGCTGGTCCAAACTTGTTTCCAACCATGTTCTTCTTTAAAGTACAGTACGTGTTTTTTACCCATTGTCCAATCTACTGAAGAACCCTTCAATTCCGGCTGAAACAGGCTTCACATGGAGAGGTCCCCGCAGTACTCATCGCGAAGCACCCTTCGCAGCTGAGTAGCTCCAAAAAGAGTTGCCAATCGGGCGACAATCTGGAGTCATTGCCGCCCAATCGAGTTCGGCGGCTCGTTGCCGCCGCGGTTTCGAGGTGATTTCAACGCCTCCTCAGAAGATGTGAAACGTTTCGAGCCATGGAGATCTTGGTCTTTGCCTAGAAAACATTTGGGGTCAAAGTGATGATGGTTGAAGTCTTGGAAGTCTCGTCCGTTTGCATTTCCAAGCATTTTTTGGAAGAATGGTGGGAGATCCATGCTGCACTTCGTGGGACCACTTCGGGTGTGGAGCAAGCAGTAGGGAGTAGCAATAGGGAGAGCAGGAGTTAGATCAGTAGCGAATTGCTTTGCTAGACTTGGGGAATTTTCGCAGCTAGCAGTAGATTCACACCTGTCGAACACCTAGTTTGGATCCGTTGAGGCTTCATGGATACCTGTGGCAGACACTTGGTTTTAGATGGCTGAGGTGTTTTCGCCTCAATCAATTTACCGGTCACTGAACTTGGCGACCGGCTAATGGCCAATGGCACCAGGATGTTTGCGAAAGGGGTCCACATGCGTAACCAAAATGGGCGCCGGTGTGAAGCAACAAGCGCGGTGTCCAAACCGGCCTTTCCAGATCCTGGTGACCTGCAGATCCTTTTCTGCAACCCAAAACCGTCCATCCTTTCGGATGATCACGGGAGGATCACCGGACCCGTCACGGCCGAGATCCTCACGTGCCGGACCGAGATCCGATCCTCCCGTCACGGCCCGCGTGTGGCTTGCACCTCTGGCACTGGCGGTGTTCCTTTCCAGCAAAGATGGCGGAAAGGTTGGGGATGAGCAGATCAAGATCTGTATTTTTGAAGTATGCAGCAATCACATCATACTTCCTTCCCAGTGGATGAAAGAAGTGGCTGTTTTGGTGTAAGGTCTGTTTGTTGGCGCACGAGTTGGTGCCAGATGTGCTGCAGACAGTTCGCTCGATCAGCCTGATTCGTTGCATCTTGATTCGACGGGGGGGGAAACACTGGACCAAAAATCCGATTGAGCGAATCAGACAGATTGGACTCCGCTGGCTGTGTGGCTGTAATTCTTGAAATTGGACTCAGCACTTCACCAGAATGAGTCCTCATGGATGCAGAATGACTTGATCAAAAGGTGTAGGCGATTTCGCAAGGATTTTGATTGATCGTAACATGGATTTCCCAAGCCGCCCTTCATGTGATGTCCCCCCATGCTGGCCAAGAGGCTGTCGCTGGAGTTCCTCAAACCTGCTTTTGAAGCGTCTCCTTAGGATCATGGTTGATTTTGAGGTCCTTTTATTCGGGGATATATACATATTATATATATAATATATGACTGCCAGAGGTCATGCACGTTTTTGACTGGATATCTATGTCCTTACGTGGTCCAGCTTGCCCCTTACACCAAAACCGCCGTCCATCATGCCATCATACATCTATTTGCATCACTTCATGTTGGATGTGGACAGCTGAGTTGAAAGCGGCGGGAAGACTGGATGGTTACACCAATTGATCGGACTTTGCGGGTGACTCCCACGACCAGCAACCGCCGGTTGGTTAGGTGATATCATGTTTTTTGGAGGCCCAATTGACCTGTCTTCATTGGTCGCACGGCCACCGAACTGGTCATGGGATAGATCCGTTCGATCCAAGATGTCCTTCGAAGAACGAAACGAGAATCAGCAATGGCGACCTTGGGTGATGTCTCCACACCGTGTGGGTGTTCTTTTTTGGGCAGGCCATGCGTGCCACATCTTCAACGAAGCGAGGAATCCCAACATCGGTATGGAGGGACTTCTATGCCTGGTATGCTATTCATTCTGCGAGAGGGGTTCTTCTGGCAAATGAGGACTGTCAAAGGGTTCAACATTTCTTTCACGCCAGCTTTCTTTGACAAATTTATGATCTATGATGATCATTGCTAGTAGGTTGGAGGCCATCGCTATTAGGGTGGAGGCCATCCCTATAACTTTTTTGAGGGGAAAAACAGGAAGAAGCAGGAAGAACCATCTCCCCCATTCCAGGTCTCGCAGACGGTTCGCCCAGTGGCGAAGAGGACCAACAGACAGCCCGGACAGCGATCCCGGAAAGGCTCATTTTCTGGTGCGACTGCTGAGTGCGCAGTCCTTATTGAGTGTTGTAAGCTCTTGGCATGCATTTTCTGGGCGCAGCTCCTTATCCTGTCTCCATCATCGTGTAAAGACACGGCGGCCACACGGTCGCGTCCGAGGTTTTTGGAGATGACGATGGGCATGCTGACTTGGACACATCCACAATTTTCACAAAAAGCCCAAACAGTTCAAACATGATGAAACAGAAGCTTGGGGACGATGATGGACATTGCTCTTAAGCAAGATGCTTAGCCGTAGGTGGGGAGACGACCGCAGCAGTCGGCAGGAGCCTTTGCTCCTGGTGGAATCGCTCAACCCCACGCGCCCCGATCGAACTGAACCCGATCGGTCGGATGCTCGCCAACAGTAAAGCGAAGCACGTATGGTGTCAGTGTTCGGTCCTAAGCCAAAACACCAATCCGATGTGGTGCCGAAGCACGGTTTCACAGAGGAGAGGGGTTTTTGAAGGTCCACTCTGCAGTGGACCCTGGTTCCGTGCCGCTCGTGCTGTTCCATCCCCTGATGGCCTGGGCAGTGAACCGCTAAGACGTCAGGGGGCTTATGTTGAGGCGGCAACGTGTGGTCCATGCTGGGAAAGCAGCAAATCTCGATCAATTGTTCCATCTCCTTCAGACATCAATTCTTTCAGCCTACTTTAGGGAGCATTTTCCAACATATTTCCACAAAAAGCATCAGAGTGTTTGGCATCTTGCGGATGTAACCAGTCTCCGCCGCAAGCGACCATTTCGCACGCCTTGCCTCTCAACGCTCGAGCTGCTGATGGAAGGTCCCAAAGAAAGTGGATTCGGAAAGATCGACAGTCTAAAGGATCAAGAACCGAACAACTGCAGGGTTTTGCTGCTTTTTTTGGGATACATGATTTCAACGGCTCCCATTGGCTGAAAGGGCCCCAGCCGTGACGCGAGCTGTGAAGAGGGCCAGATTTGGCGAAAGGTGAAGGCTTCGGGCTCAGCCCATTCATCACACACATATCGAAAAAAATGGAGGTCTCCGACGTGGGTCTGGGAGATCTGCCCTTCAGGTCAGAATCAAACATCAACTGACTCAACACCAATCCAAAGATGGAGGCCCACACCGTCATGTGACACATCATGTGAGCCCACACCGGCCCACACCGTCGAAGAACCGGACCAACACGGACTGTCCTCCGCTACCAACAGGCCCGCTCTAACGGAGAAGCAAGCCAGATGCTTGCGGCGGTGGCTTTGCAGTCGGTGGCTCCTTGTGATTGGACTGTAGGCCTACCATCATGAACACACTCTAGATATCTCAGATGGCCTTTTCCTATTGGTTGGTGGATTAATAGGGGGGATACCACACCAAGTGTACAACCAAGTTCGGTTTCCATGGCACCTGGCACCAAACCAACTCTCACTGGAACACACCCTGCCTGGCTCTCATGCGCCCTTCGCCAAGAGTGGAAAACCGCAAATGCCTCGTTTCCAGCGTCGTTCGATCTGAGCGTCGAGCGTCGCTTGGCCAAGCGGATGCCCCATTGAGTGCATTTTAAGGTCAATTGAGAAGTTGTCCCTCGTGGCCATGTCCATGTTCGCTCCTGCACCAGTGGCATTTCCGAGAATACCAGACTTGAGATGAGACTGATGACACCAACTGTGCTTCAACAATCAGGATGTGGCGTAAAGTTTCGAGCGTAGTCTTCCAAGGCCGCATGTGCTTGACATCAACGGAGAACCGCGTAGAAACATGGCAGACATCATGCGTTGGGCGGTCCGACCTGTGCGGGGGCGCTGTGTGGACCGAAACGAACACCGACGGGACGAGAGTTGGCACAGCAGGGCCCTCTCATCTACTCTCATCTACTAATCTATGATCATCTATGCGCCTACTGTTGGGAGACTTTTTGGACATCGTGTACATGCAGCTCGCTACAGTTGCACTTCGTTCTTTTGTAGGTGGTGCTTTGCCTGCTTCAGGCGCTTTGGCAGGTTTCGGGTCAGGTGAGAGACGACATGTGTGGGTCATGCACTAGCACTGCTACTATTTTGTTGTTTCCTTTTCCAGGAGAAGATTATCATTTACTTTGTTGCAATCTGATGATCCTTGTTGCTTGACTTGCCTCGATTCACATCAGATGACTCCATCGCTTTGTAATCAAGGGAACGTGAAGAGAACCGCCAAGCCATAGAGCCGAGTGGAGAACAGGCCATTTTGACGAAGCCCATCCTATCGTGGTGGGATATCTGAAAGTCCTTTTTGGGGTCATGCACAGCCTTTTGACATTTGTTGAGCCATACCATCGACAGACGTGAACTTTTTCACTAAGCGGTTCAAGTTGGTACCGAAGTGATGGCAACCTTGGCAACCCACTTCATACCAGTCCGACCACTAGAATCTGCAAAAGCATCTCAGCCAGGCCTGTTGCCGCCTTGGTCACCGTGGCCTTTGTTCCCTGTCATGCAAGAGAGGGCCGTTTGTGATCATTGGGCACCACAGGTTGACTGCTCCAGGGAGGGCTGGTAGTAGGGCTGGTCCCGGCCTCATCCACTCGCTAGCTCATGTTTCCCACGGCCCGTAGGCTCACGCCTCCAGTGATGCCTGATTTCACGCCTCCAGTGGTTTCAATCAACTCGGAGTCTAGGAGTATGACCAACTCATACCAACTTGCCGTCGGGCGGTCACGGTCACAGGTATGCCAGCGCTGCCCTGCATGTCTTGGCCTCAAGCTTTGAAACGGATGGACAGTCTGAGAGTCGGTACGCTTGACGTGCACCTTTTGGGCGCGGCCGATTTTGAAGGATTCCCGACAAAGGTGGTCAGGACCTGCCAGGTTTTGGGCACTGACCAAACAGGGGATGAACGTCTGGCCGCTTCGCCCCTACGACTGAGGCGTCCCAATCTGCAGAGCAGTCCAGGTGGGAGCCGTGTGCAGTGCAGTCGGACCAGACCACCACGTCCAAAAGGGTGTAGTGTTTAACTCGGAATCATGGCAGACATGTCAGTGTTCAGGTGGTGAGTATCGAAAAGGATGTGGGTCCGTGCCCCGACATTTGTGCAAAGAAACTCTTGAGAGATACAGATGTACCAGTTTCAATCCGGTTTTCCTATCTTGTTGAGTAACTATGTGGACCTTTTGTCAAAATATACATACATTTTTCGAACTCCACCGGTATCGTTTTCCCGCCTGCCAGGGCGCTTGGAGGCTGCCCTCGGTGCGTTTTCGGAAGCAAGTCCTGCTTGTTCCAAGATTGCACCCCGAGCCCGGAGAAGCACCGCAAGTGGAAACTGACATGGACCGTGATTGATGGAGCGTTTTTACATAGAACATCCATATTCTTCAAGAAGGGATCTCCATGACCTCTCTGCGGTCCATGCTCACCCTTGCTGGTTCAAGGTTGAAGCAGGTTTATTTACCGGTTCCGATTCCGCCTGACCATGTGAAACTCTTGTAGATTTTGGTCAAACCCTGTGTCATGACATGAAGCTTTGAACATGCATCATACCGGGTTCCGGCATGGCGGTGGTCGAACAGAGGGGTCTCCCTTCCTTCCCTTCTCGCGCGACTCGATTCGTCGACTCGATGCCTTTTCGAAGCCCAAGGGGGTCGGAACGTCGGGGTGGTCGAGATCTGCTTGAGCCACACGAGCTGTATGAAGTCGGCGATGATTGGGGCTGCCAGGGTCATCTCACCGGGCGGGACCGACCGTGGTTCTTCCCACCCGAGACGAGAACAGAGACGAGAACGAAGAGAAGAAACCGTCGGCCGGTGGGGTCGACCTGGGTGAGGTTCCGGGATTTCAGGTGCCATCACCCAGAGTCATAGTCATATGAAGTGATGGTCGACACGGGAAAGGCTTGGCCAGTCCTTCTGTGGTCCAGGTGACGCGTGGCCTGCAGGGAAGCTGAGATGCGTGGCAAATTGGGAAGTTGATGGAAGTTGTGAGGTATCAAAAGCTTCAATGAATGATCATGATGTCGGGTCTGGAGTTGGGTCAGGACCCTAACAATGAGTCTTAAACCCAGAGTTTTCATGGGAGAGATCCATGGCACAGAACATGAGGCCTGGCCAGGGCCGCCAGGGCCATGCGCCAAGCTTTGGTGGCCTGACCATGCCACCTTGGAGTTTCTGCTGGACAGGATAAGTGCTCTTGTTAGACATGTGACTTCTGTGTGGACACAGTCTCAGACATTTCAATCTGATCGGCCATGTGCCTGAGATAGTTGCATAGGCTCTCAAGTGCTCTTGCAGGAGTATGTTTTTGTTGAACTATGGAATATAGCTGCGATGAATGGATTCTTCTTGACAGCAAGGCACCTTAAGTTGCACTGGCCAAAGCTTAGGCCAGACTCTCAAGGCTGGGTTTTCGGGCCTCAGCTAGTCTCTGTCACTACCAACATCGCCCGGAGCGGATAACAGGATGTACCAGTATGGCTGCGACAGTGCGGCTGCAACAGCAGCCTTTTTGCAAGATAGGCTGTCTCCAAATCATAGGAGTTGACCGGCAATCATGGAAGGCATTTGAGGGTGCCAAGCGTCCAACATGGAAGACACGTCGCTCGGTTCGCTCAGTTCGCCTTCTCTTCGAGCATGTGACACGTTGCGCTTTCCTGCGACCGTTTGGGCAGAGATGCGTGTTCGGTCCTTTGAAACGGCTGGAACATTACATGAGATCTGTGACCCTTGACAAGAGCTAAAAAAGCATTTAGCGGTGAATGGTTGTGGTGTACTTACAGAATTTTGGCACTTAGATTTCAATCTCAGCTGTTGTGCAGAATGTACTTTGTTGCAACGTGCGACCATTTCGTGTCGCATGGAGGGAAACCAGACGCTGAGCTTTCAGCCTTTGCCACGTTCCATGGGTTGCAGCAACAGCCGCGAGATTGAGAAGATCCACGAGCAACTGGATGCCGAAGATGCTGCACGCAGTCCGGTGAGAACCCTCCAACGAGGGGCCAAGCCTCAGCCCGAAACCACTCCCCTTCCGGGTGAAGCAGTCGCAGGAAAGGAGGATCCAAAAGACAAAGGAGAAGAGGCAGAGATCTTTGAGGCTGAGGTGAAGAAAGATGGTCCCAAGAAAGAGGAGGATTGGGTGGAGCAGGATCAAGTGCCCAAGAAAAAACGGATGGAGGAAATTGAGACTGCTCAGATCAAGGATCAGCTCGCGGAGGTTGGTGATACCGTGGCGATCGAAGAAGATTCTAAACAAGGGAGTGAGACTGCCAAGGTTGAAGAGGATCCAAAGCCAGAGAAGGAAAATGAGACAGAACAGATTGAAGAAGAGGTGCCCCCAACCCAGTATGGCTTTGTCATGCTTTGTCCGAGCTTTACCTTGCAATGACGAATCTAAAACCCGAGACAATATCAACCAAACCATTGCTGTATATAAATTCCTATGAACTTTTCCTCTATGAAATGGGGTCGATTGTCCCCATATCGATATGTATGTCATCAATCTGTGTGGGGGTGCAGTCGCGGTCCACTCAGTGGGTCCTTAAGCCGAGGGTATGACTTGACCACCTGGCTGAGGTGCTTGCTGTGGATTGGTTTGAGTCCGCACGCCTTGGCCATGTTCCAACCATGAAGCAGCACCTGAAAAAGGCCGAGGATGACCAAGTAGAGCACTTTCTAGATTCTGAAGCTGAGGAGCGCCAAACGGCGCTCCATTTTACCGCGCAACGTGGTCACTTTGCGGCATGTGAATGGCTTCTGAGTATGAAAGCAGATGCCGGAGCCATCACCAAGAAGAAGGCAACAGCGCTTCACATGGCTGCCTCCTTTGGGCACCTGAAGGCGAAAAACCTGGTTTTCGATACGATCCGTCGAGCCACACGTCGAAGGTCTGAAGACCAAACAGTGTGACCTACGGGCATCGTAGGTTGAAACCGTCTTTCAATTCACGTTCGGTTCACTCAGTTGGACGTTCTTAGGATTGGAGACAAGAACTCAGCGGGGAGCTGGCAGACCGGTTGATTGGGCCCCGGTCTCGTTTGGACTGGTCAGGCGAACATGGTGGGTCACGACCCATACAAACTACAAACACATCTCTTTGAATTGGTGTTCATGAGAATACACGAAGTCCCGGAAACGTCACTTCTCCGTAAAAAAGCTCAGGATATTCTGTTACTCACACTTCCGAAAAGCACCAGACAGATCACTGATCTGTTGGGAGTCCTTTCCATGTCCTTCTCCATGTCCCCCACTCTGGGACTGTGGCTACAAAGCCGCTGGGAGCTGCTACTCGTTCGCCTTCGCGCAGTGCAGGTGGTGGAGCTGCTGGTGGATGACCCACAGCTTTGCAGCGTCGCTGCCGCCGATCTGTGGCGCTGTACACCGCTGCACCGTGCGGCGGAGGGGGGGTTCAGTGACGTGGCGTTGGTGTTGTTGAAGAAAGCAGCGGATCCACAGAAGGCGGACCGTGATGGGAACTCTCCACTCCATTTTGCTTCGACGTCAGGCTGCCAAGAATTGGTGGAAGAGCTTCTAAAGCGCCAGGTGCCCCTGAACTTTGCGAACAACGATGGCTTTTCTCCTCTAGACCTTTGCGTCTCCTGGTGGCGACATGGAGCCAAGCGATTCTAGAGAGTGAGCTCGACTCACATGAACATGACAGCATGTTACCATCGGATGTTGGGACTTGGGTTCACGAAGCCGAGTCTTGAAAAGAGTTTGGCATGTACCACTTGACTACTTGACGCTCACTCCTTTGAGGTCATGAATCCGTGCAGTAACAGCCTTGGGTCTTCACCAATGTTGATGTACGCATACTATATTTCATATACGATCAAGCCTTGGGGACTCATTTGCTGAACTTCCTTTGGTATGAGAATCATGTTCAACGAAGCAGTGAGAAATTCTGTCAGAGGTTGCTGATGGCTACCACAACTTACCATTCCCGAACCAAACGAAGGGCCCCAGATGTGCTCCCAAGGTACTTAGGAATGTACTTTTCTTCTTGACCTGCAAAAAAGCTAAGGTCTTGAAAACTGGGACACAAAGTACTTTTCAGTTTGCAAGCTTCAAAGCCACCGTTCCCAAAGCTTTGTGCACTGGAATTTGTGTTTGCTTTCTAAGGTCCGCAAACGTACCTCGGCGGTCGGGGATTTACTGGTGGCAGCTGGAGCGAAATTGGTCAAGGAATTGAAACCAACACCTCCGACACTGCTCTCTGCTGCTGCGTCAGGTCTTCCATTCCTGTGCAGCTATGTCTTGAAGTCAGATGATCGGCTTGTGAAGAAGGAAATTGTGGATACTGACGATCAAGATCGTACCCCGCTTCTTGTGGCGGTGAGCAATGGAAACAAAGAGGCAAAGGCATTGTTGTAGCCAAGGTTTCCACATGAGAACTGCCAGTACTTTCCATGTCCACACTTCAACAACCTCGCATGGGAAAGGGTGTCGATAGATCCCTGAGGTCGTGAAGCGTTTGTTGGGTCATCCACTTGGAGCAGCTCATTTGGAGCGACATAGCTCTTGCGGCCTGGCACCCTTGCATGAAGCAGCGCGCTCAGGGCAACTGTCCATGTTACAGATGCTTCTAGAGCACAAGGCTCATGTGGAGCACGTGGACGCACAAGGCAGTTCTGCCCTCTTTCATGCAGCCATGGCGAATCAGCTTGAGGTGGCCAATTGGCTCCTGAGTCAAGGCCTTCGACCCGAGCAATGCAATGACCGTGAGCGAACAGCTCTGCATGCTGCTGCATCTTCCGGAGAACTTGAAGCCTGTCAATTCTTGCTTCGGAACGCCGAGGACACGTGGGACCACGTTGGGAGACGTGGAAGTCGCACGGACCGAGACCGTGGGATGGAGACGCCGATCCCGACATTCCACCAGAGAAGCATGTGAATTCCCCATGTCTGAAAGGTCTAACCAAGAGTGTGTATCAGGATCATCCTGGACCTGGGTGTCCTCCGGAGGTCAATGGAGCTGCAGTGCTACTGGGTAGCGACCCATGGTGACACATATAGAGACTTGAAATTATTGTTTCTAGTAGCTTTTTGTTTCTAATGGCTTCTTGTTACTACTAGTAAGGCCCTTCCTCCTAGTAGCGATGCACTTGTTCCTAGTAGCATTTGTTTAATTATAATCTATCGACTTGCGAGGTTTGACTTCGTATTTTTGGAATGCTGAGTCTATGAGCCTATGAGCCGCGAACCCCGCAATGCAGGACGGAGATTCATCCCATGTCTGAGGTCTCAGTTGTTTTCAGCCTCACTCTCACCAGGACCCCAAGGAGTTGCTCACGCGACAAGATTGGGAAGGCGCTACTGCTGTGCATTTGGCAATCAAAGGCGGCCATGCGAAGCTCTGTCGCTTTCTGGCGGGACAAAATGCAAACCTGCAGGAGGGGCATGAGTGGGTTTCCAAGTCATATCAAGATATATCTTAAGTCATTATAGGCTGTAGGTCATTACAGGTCCTGAAGTGGCCCAGCCATGATGAGCCAGCCACAATGAATCAGTATGAATCATGCTTCCACGTGTCTTCGTGGCTTCATCACCTTCCCCAAATCCGAAATCCAGGAGTGCCTTGATTTCGGAGTCACACCTCTACAACTCGCAGCGGACCTGGGACATGAGGAGGTCTTGCAACTCTTACTTGACGACTTAGTGACGCCCCAGGCGCGCGGCGCTAGTCGCGCCGCGTGCAGCCGGAGCCCTCGCCGGACCGGGCCGCGATCACCGGACCGGACGGTTTTCGTGTGCCTTTTTTTGGGCGTCCTGTCACAGACCCTTAAGGGTTCAGGGTTTGGGTTTTGTTTTTTGGTATCTTCAGCTAACCTGAACCCCTTAAGGCTCTCCTGTCACAGAAGGGCTCATTCTTTGTTGTAGGCGCTGCGCTGGTCCTGTCACCAGTGGGGGGCTGTCGGGCGTCGGCTGTCGGGCGACGTCGGAACGAGCGCCAGGCGCTGGAACGAGCGTTTCAAGGACGCCAGGGGGGATGGGTGCACCGCTTGGTTGGCCGCCTGTGGTCATGGCCACCGACGTTGTGCAGAACACCTGCGCAGCGCTGCTGGGGCCAAAGGCCTGAATTTGGGAGGAATGAAGGACCGCACAGGGCGCAAGGCGATGATTCTGGCCGCCAGAGGTGGACATTTAGAGCTCTGCAAATGGCTTTTGGACATTGGCCTTGGGCAGGTGAGTGAACGTGACAGCTGTCAATGGACCCCACTCCATGCGGGGGCTGCTGAAGGACACCGTGATTTGGTGGAGTGGCTGCTGAAGCAGGGTGCTGATGCCAGCGCTTTGGATGAGGACGGCCACACACCGCACAGCTTGGCACGGCGCCGAGGATTTGCACCGGTGGAGGCGCTCCTGCGCCGCCACATGGCACAAGCGGCTGGGGCGTGAGAGGAAGACAGCGACGTTGAAGACGTCGCTGGCTGGCAGAAAAAGGGTGAACAGCCGAGTGAACATGCCCAAGACTGAGCAGCCCCATCCATAACGTTGTTATTCTTGTCTTTTTGTTTGGAGTTAACTTGTTAAAGAACAATTTCTTGGGTGCGTGCAGGCTCTTCAGATCTTGAAGTTGTTCGGGATTCTCAGAGTGGCAACCTTAGGAGCTCTGAGCAGAGCCTTGACTTCATTCTCCCGGCTCAGAGCCCTTGACTTCAGCATCCAGCATCCTTCAGTGTCATGCCTTAGCAGTCATGGGAGTTTCTCAAGGGAGGGATGCCTTCAGACACTCCTTTGAGATCGGAAATCTTTGTCCCCCCCTGCCCTGCAGTTGCCGCTTCCGGGTTGACCGGTTGACCTTCCAATCATTTCTTCAACATCCTTTGGCACCCCATTGTGGGACATGTTCATTCCTTCTCATCGAGTTGATCCCTTGAGGTGAGGCCTCCTCGTCGGGGCTGCCAGACAACTGCAAAACAGATGCGTGGCTTGTCAGGCTTGTTGTAGTATATACTTCTCACTTGTATGGAAATCAAACATCTTCCAAATCATCCCCTAAAGTTGTGTGTGCGTCTCTCTCTCTCTCTCTCTCATCTCACTCAGCAACGTCCGGACAACACTGTTTACGATGTCCAGTGTCTTCTTTGTTTTCTTCGCTGCAGTCCTCTGGCGGGTTGTGTATTGAGGCCAGACGCTTCTCGAAAGGCCTGACCTGGCCGAAACGATGTGTCCACGCGGTGTCGGGTTCGGTGGCTTTCGGGGCATGGAGAAGAGATTGGTTTTGATCGGTTTCGATGAAGTACATCAGAAATGGATGCACAAGTATCTAGATGTCTAGATGTTCAAAGCTGACGTGGTTTTGGCCTCGCCAGTGGGTGTGGGTTTCGGAGGGCAGTACATGAAGCTGGATTGCAAGGTCAAGGTGCATACAGCGGGGACCGTTGATGAGATTCTCATAGATTCTCACTGTTCCTAGCTTTATGCGAAGTAAGCTGCTAGCTTTCTGTGTTGCAAATTTTGGCAAACGTCGTGGAAGCCTCACAGCTTCCACCAGAGGTTTCTGTCCAGACTCTGGGAGTACATAATCAGCGCCGCTGGAAGGTTCGTGTGGAGCTGAATCTGGCAGAGAGGCGTGGTGGTTGCAACAACACCCGAGCCCGCATGAAATGGCTCATGTTTGGGGTGGTTTGGGTTTGAATGATGTTTAACCTGCGATGGTTTTATTACACATGGGCCACATGGGATTGTTTGCTTCCCTTCAAACAAACATCCATGGGACGTTTAATAGCTAGGTGTGCAACACACAACAAGGCTCTGCCGGGAAAAGGGGCTTAACAAGTGGAGAGTCAGAGTCACAACAGTTGAAACGAGGGTCTCCTCGTTGGACACTGCAGGGTTGGTGGTGGCAACGCACATCGTGTCTCTGAATAAACCAGATGAAACCGTGAACAGCTATATATATATTACTGTATATCATATATTCTAGCTATTTGGGGACAAGTGTATCATAAGTCAGAACTCGGATTCAAAAAAACACGTTCTTTGGTGAATTCGCCCACTTCACTTGCCACAAATACCAGGACCAGCCCTCCTGACTTCAGTCCTGAGGCGCTCTCTGCGCCCGAAAGCCGGGTGGCCGACGTTGCTCCTGAGTTTAGTAGAGACCATCACTTCCCCCCAAACAAAGCACCCAGATTCCCCTGCCTACCACTCCAAATCTACATAAATCTACAGATGTCTGCAATCGTGCATGGCGACTGACCCCAGGAGAAAGTCGCGAAGCCACGCGTGAAGCACCCCGGAGAGCTAGATTGCTGTTTTAGTTACTTCAACAGTAGTCAGTTCTGCCAAGTTGACCAGCAGTTTGACAGGCAATCGAAATGTGGCTTGCGACCTGCACCTATTGAATAGAGACAGTCCCGTTTCCTCGGTGGGTTTCTTTTACGCCGTTCGAAACTCAAAGCACGCAGCACTGCCACCTAGAAGCAATTGCCTCCAACCTCATAGCGATGGCCTCCAACCTAGAAGCAATATGGCCCCCAAGCTAATAGGTCGAGGTTGAAGGATGTTGTTCCGCACTGTTGGAATTCTGGCATATGAATCCTATTGAATCCCCATCACCACTTCCACGATGACATGGACGACCTCCAGGCCACTATGACCTTCACATGGATGTCACACCCGGGATGCATATGATGGATGGACTGTGCTCGTCCTCGCCCGTTGTTACGGCGAATTCGCATCTTCGCGGCTCTCAACGCACTGGTCCAGTGGAGCTGATGGTCCATGTCCACTCACGTCGACGCCAGGCGTGTGGCGCCTTCTTCTTTACACCAAAGAAGACGGGGCCTCTTGGGTTTGGGCGGGTCAACTGGCCAGAGTTCAGAGAAAGAGACACTTGTGCCGAAGAAGTGCCCAAAGCCTGATTGGTTTGAGTGGGTTTCCCGCCTTATGAATGTTGATTTTGCAGTTTATGGTACATGAACAATCTACAGTGAAGACCCCGTCTGAGAACACTACAGATTTTGCACGTCACTATTTTCAGCTGTTCCTGGGGTCAGGCTTCTATGTCCAATCCCATTCATAGTCAAAGGCGGAGCAAATCTGACCGTACTGCCGTACTGCCGTACTGCGACCTGACCATGTGATTTGTACCTACAGAGTGTATTCCGGGAACCGGTGTTTTCAAGCTCGGTGCGCTCGACCAGCTGCAGGACCTCCTTCCGCGCAGATGCGCCGGTCTTTGTTCCGCGTGACATGGTGCGGGGGCACATTGTGCGGGTGCGTTGCTGGGATTGGACTGGGGAGACGAGGAGAAGACTGCTGGGGACTTGCTTTTGAGAGTTTTTTTTTTCCGCAGTTTCTGTTCCTTTTTAAACATACATCGACTATGTATTATATTTCTGTGAGTGTGTTAAATCTTCAGGCTTTTCCCAGCGGATGGTTGATGCTGATTCTTGGCTTGAACAGTTCAGCTTGTGCTCCTGATCCTGTGTTTGTCATGGGATCTGGTCTGGGAAATCCCCGAATGGACTGATCCGCGTCCCTTTGAGCCAAAAGGACAAGGAACGGTCCTTGGCATGCTTTCGACTGCAATGTTAGCTGAAAAAGATAGCAGGTTGGAAAACAGCATGAGGTGTCTACCTCCCACCACCATCCCACCACCATCCCACCAATCTCCCACCATCTCCTTCCTTGAGCTTAGAGACATGTCGTGGACTCCCGCCTCCACCGCACCTCCCTCGACCAGTCCGCAGAGTTCGAGACCCCGACGAAGGAGGCGGGGATGTTGAGACCTTACTTTTTCTTTGGTTTTGATGCATCAAATTAGGGTGGGGCCTGTTTGGTTGAAGTTTGTTTGAGGATATATATACTTGAATTTTTGTTGATGAATGGACCTCTTTGCCACAACAAGAACCACTGTGGCCTCACCGCTCGATACCGACGGTACAATTTGAAGCAGGGGAGCAGACCAGGAAGAGGAGAAGACACTCGGTTTGGGGACACTGGACCGATCTTGGGTGTTGGTCATTTTCAGCATAGCTAGCAGATGAGATGCCTGGTCGTGCCATGAGATGCCTGTCGTACCATTCTTTCGTTCGTTGCATCTCAAAGAGCAAAGGCAAGTCTGACTCATAGAGGTTGGAACTGGTCTCCTCCTTGACTCATCCTGCAGTCCCAACCACTATGGACGTCCAATGTAAGATGGCCTCTTTAAAAGGGCTTTCAAGAAACTGCTGACTGGGATGAACATGGTTGCATGGACTAGCAAGACAGTGCGCCCAGGAAACCAGAAAGAAAGTGACCAACTCCAAGTCCCCAAGTCAACCGGGAGGATGACGACCCTCCTTGAGCGCAGGCGCCCGACAGCTTTGTGGCAGTGCGATCCAGGATGTTGGGCGCCCTGCTGATTCTCAACGATGTGGATGTGAATGGCAACAAATCCGTAGAAACCCCGCCTGGTCGGTCCATGTTTGGGTCGGTAAGGGCTGAGAAGAGCTGCGAGCCCCTTCGATGGAACACTTGTGGCTGTTCGATGTTCATTGAAAACCTTCTTAGTGTTCAGACTCAGACTGGCGTTATCTAAACTAGTCTGAATGCTCTGTCCCTTCTTGAAACTTCTTGACCCTCTCTAGCTATTTGCCATCGGGTCATTTGGCAGAACCTCACCTGACTCTGGTGTCTTATTTCTGATCCGCCTCCCTCACTCCCTCGCTCGCTCGTTCGCTCGCTCGTAGATCTGCACCTCTTCTTCTTTCTCGCCCTCTCCGAGGCTGCGTATGCGGCAGCTGCTCGAGGCCTGATCCCAGCACAGAGCTTCTCTCCCCCTTGACCGAAAGTCGGTTTGTTCCAAAGCAGCAAAGTGAGCCATCTCTCCAACAATTCCACTTTCATCCCTTTTCCAGTGGGGCGTTCAGTCCTTTGGGTTCCCAAAGTCCTGTGAAATGTAACGATGAATTTCTCGTTGCAGGATGAATCGAAGTGCCAAGGACCCTGCGAATGGGCTGTTCAGAGAGGGTGGACAAGAGGGGGTGGAGCTGCTGGTGTGTTTTGTTTTTGTTTTTTGAGGTGACACAGCTTGCCGTGCTGGGCATGGAACCATGGAGCAGATTCGGGTGGCTGTTGAGTCGTAGCCGAGGAAAGCAGTCTTGGAACACTCAAACAGTTGCAAGATGTTGTCATCAACAATTCCGCCTGATTCCGAAAGAAGAGGAGCCTGGAAGTTCCATTTTCTCCACCTTCCTGGCACCACCCAGTCGTCTGCACGTGCTTTTTCTGCAGTCGTGCCGTCGTCTAGTCGTCGCGCAGTCGTCGTCAATTCGTCCGGTCGTCGCCGATGTGCTGCATCGCATGGATGTGGTGCATCACACCCAACACAGAGGACATGGGCAGGGCCCAGAGCTGAAGCTCCTGAAGACCGCCAAGCGTTCTCAGGCTCCGAGCGCCTTGGAGGAGCTGGAGAAACATGCCACATGCCAGCCAATATGGTTGGCTTTGGTCGTGTTACCGCAAGATCGTAGAGGATTTGGACTTGTATGTAGGTATAGGTTGGAGGGATCTACTGACTAAGACTAACACATGCCACCTGCGCCGGTTGGTGGGTGTTGAACCGCATCCCATGCGCCGGTTGGTGGGTGTTGAACCGCTTTGGGTGGTCAAAGACGGGGATGAGGCTGAAGCGATGCCGGACAACCCCACTTGCTTTATATATGTATAGTGGAATGGAATCAACAGTCTTGCTCAAGGTGGCAAAGCAAGATCGGGTTGAAGTATGGTTTAAAAGTGCAAACAAGTGTGCCTGCCTTTCTTCTCCAGCAAGGGTGCTCCGTGTGATGTAATTTATGTTACATCCCTACCAACACCTGCTCTCCCTTTTTTCTACCCTCTCTTCTCTTCTCTTCTCTTCTCTTCTCTTCTCTTCTCTCTCTCTCTCGCTCTGTCCTCTCTCTCCCTCTCTCACACTGACTCTCACCCTCCCTTGCTCCCTGACTCCATTGGCATTTGGAAAAGATCCTGCATGCAGGTGAATGGCTATGACCTGCATGGGGCAGGCGGCTTCTGGATTTGGCATTTGAGAAGCAAGAGGAGACTAGGAGGCTGAAAGGATCCAAAAAGTAAGACCAGAATCCAAGTCAGAATCCAGTAAATTTGAGTATGCTAGTAGTATGGCGATGTAGGCATTCCTTTTCTCACAGCATGGTGTGGTCAAGTTTAGCAGAGAAGCGCTCTTTGAAGACCTTATCTTTCTTTCCAGATACCACCAACCTGCAGGACAAGTGTGTCGTCTATTTTAGTAAGGGGTGACGGAGCAGCGTGCTGGGTCAGCCATGCGATTCAACCTATCCAAACGGGCCTCAGGGGACACCCTGTGCACATGGCGATGCATTCTCACACTTGATTCTTGATGCTGACTGCACATGACAGACAAAAACTGTGGCACATGCGACCATGGGTTGGTGCCAAAATAACCAGCGCTTCAACCAATGAACGCCTCGTCCGCGATTGGCTGTTGGTGGCTCTCAGACGCGAGCCGCTGACAGTTCCTCTCCTCAGCTCATTAGTTGACGAGGGCCATGGCGAAGCAGGCAAGGTTGCATCCAGTGAATCCAGTTGCAACCAGTGATCATGGCTCATCTCGTTCCAGTTTCACTAGCTCTTTGGTTAGATTCATCTCGTTCGCTCGATTCTAATCCTTAGAATCCACGAGTTGCTTGTCCCCCTCGGAACTCACAGAGAGCTCCGTTGTGAACGCTTTCTGAGCTCAACTGTTTCAGGGAGTTAGCAAGGAAATATGCCCGGTCAAGTTGGGAAGGCTTTGGAATGATGAGGAACTCGTGCAGAACTGGTGACTAGAGGTCTTACCTATCCTCCCAGGCATTTTTCGGTAGAATGCCTTGAACCGCTTTTCTGTCGATTCTGGGAGCTTGTACTTTTCCTGATTCACTTGCAGACGATCAATTCCTCAGCACTAACCTGATGCAATCAGGTTCCCAGGCCTTTGCCTTTGCATGGCCTGAATGTGTTGTTTCTATCGTACAGGCAGTTGCTTTGATACCAAAGGCAGTGGGTGAGCTGTGTTTCAGCTGAACACTGAAAAAGGACTGACTACTGAACACTCCAGGCTCGGGCTGTTTTCCAAGCCGCATGCGGCCTCGGTTTCGCTCTTTTTCCCCCGACAGGTCCAACTGAATGACTTCGAAATGCGCCTGGGCAACGGGCGGGACCTCGTCGTTCTTCGTTCTTCTTCGTCGTCGCACGATGACCCACGCGACACGACGACCTCTGGGAGGTTCATGCCCGAAGACACCACGGTTTTTTTTTGACGCGATCTATGTAACTAGTAACGATATATATATATATAAGAAACAACACATTACCAAGAAAGTACCGAACAAAAAGAGCTCCATTGGGTGAGCTTTGCAGCGAAACAAATATTTGGTCGGCGGTCTCAGACCACGGACGGCTTGAGAGTCAAAGTTATAATGCGTGTGGCAAATATTAATATATATAATATACATGACATAAAGCAAGTTGTGACATAAGTGTGTCATGTATATTCACATAATATATATATCTATATCTATATCTATATCTATATCTATATGTAGTACACATATAGAGTATGACATATCAATGTTATGCATGACATGCCGTTCATCACCCCGCCTTCTCACCCGTTTCACGGACTCGACCGGACACGTCGAGTGTCAGCGGGGCGGACGGTCCAAACGGGTGCCCTCTTTGGGTCACCCCGGTCGACCGGATGACCAACGTTTCGTTTGGCACCCGTGGTGATGAGATGAGGATCCCAAGATCCAAAGTTCAACACAAGGTGTCAGTTTGACCTGCAGATTGGATTCCGAAAACCACCAAATGTGTGTAGAAAAGGAATGCTCTTCCAGAGGTTGATTTTCAAGTTCCATGTTAGTCTGCACGCTGGTGGTGAACATCAAGAGCAGTCAGGACATGTCTTTTTAAAGCTGCCAAGGAACTGACAGTAAAAGCAGGTCATACACAGTGGCCGTGAAAGATCTCCCAGAAACCGCCCAGTGATGCTGAAACCAATGGTCCCATCAGATCTCCCTTGAGACTGGCGATGGCCCGACATGCATCGCACATGCACAAGCTGTCATAGAACCTGACGGACACGGGTCGTTCGCCCTCCGGATCTTCGGGTGACCGCTGCACCGCTCTGAGGGTCCGCACCTTGGGCTGTGGATCCTTTGGACGTGTGCGATTTGCCAAGTACAAGCCGGAGCGGCCGGGTCGCGGCCGGGTTCCTTTTGTCCGGGTCGAATTGATTAATGGGGTCGACGTGTTTTCCGAGGCGGGGACGATGGTTTTATAGTTTAATAAATCCGTTCGAGAGCTCTTTTTTTTCACTGGGCAAGTTCAGTCAGCAGCTTTTCCAAGTTGCGTGTTTCGGAGCTGCTGCAGCTGTTGGTCTGTTACACGTGTCGGTGAGCTACATTGGGCACAACCGCGCTCTTGTTGGAACAGTCCAGACATTCCAAGAAGCAGATCATCCGACCCCAACAGGGATCTATACATTCCTGACTTCAAAGTGGGTGACGGTGGTGACGAAGTCGAGTGCTGGTAGATCTAAAGGGATCATCCAGACCTCGACTGACAGCAGACGGACCTCCCTGGGCGTTCAGGGAACGAAGTGCCGTTTGACCCGGGTCAGCGACGACCGCCTGCCGGTGAGATCAACGAACTGGACGGATGAACAGGGAGGAACTTGTTGAGCGAAAGTTCGGAAGGTGTATCACAAGAGCCAGGTGTGGCCAGGTTTCTTAGCCAAGAGCATCAAGGAAGTAAGCTACATAGATGATAGATATGATAGATTAGATGCAACAAGATGAGCATAGATGACCTATGGCTCCTCAACAGGACGGCAAGTACTATGCAGTGAAGTTCATGAAGAAGCATGAGATCATCAAGCTCAAACAGGCATGGCCGCCGTGCTCATGGCCGCCGGCCAATGCGCAAGCCTGAAATGGTATCGCCCCTCCTCAAAGTCATTCGCGATCTATGTATTTGAATGGGGAGACACCTGATCGCCTTTGGCTGAGTAGACTGCTTTATTTCCCGAATTCCGGGGGAACGCCTGGGAGGTCTCTAGCGTTTTCTTGGAGTTGCGTGGAGGTCTTTTCATCCCGTAAGATCAGCCCAGGAGGCACTTGACTCAACTGCTAGAAACTCTTGTTCCTTATCCCTCCCAGCCTGCTCAGCCTGCTCAGAACGTCGCCCCGTTGCTTGCCGGGTTCTGTGTGTTTGGTGCCTGTCCTCGGTAGGTCTCTGCATCCCTTCAGAGCCAGGAGTCCATGCATACGTGGGAGTTGATCGAATCATGGGATGCATTTTTTAAATACAAAGATCATCAAAGATCGACCTTTTTGGATGCAAGGAAGATGGAGAAACAACCACCCAAAAATATGTTGGAGTTGATTTTCCTTCTTTCCCGCGATGAATGGCAGATTCTATCTAACGCCGCCCATGGGCTTTCAGAACGGGTCGACCGGAGCGGATCGGCGGATCGATCGACCAAGTCTCGAGGTGGACCACATCAACAATGAGAAGAGGCTAATGGCGCAGATCTCCTACCCCTTTATCGTGCCTTGGTTGCGCCAAGGAGACATCCTGAGACCCTTTTTGGGTCGGTCAACAGGCCTCCAGATGGGAACAGACCCATGCTGACATGTCGATCGTGAACATGGCTCAAAGATGCCACAAGATGCCCTGAGGGTCGAACAAAATGGTCTGTTGAGACCGGTCAATGGACGTGGGAGAGATTTAGACCCTGAGGGGGTCGGTTAGTCTGGATTTGGCATCGAACACATTGAATCCTACAATTTGCATCAATCCTTTCCGAATCTGCCTCTTGCTGCTTGCTTCCTTCTTTCATGTAGTCGATTGCCCTTCGAATCGAACTCTTGGCCATCTGGGGATCTGAGTCCGACACATCCTCAAGCGCCGCCAGCGTCTGGGATCCGGTGCGGCTTCGAATGGATTGTCCGACATCTAAGGTGAACATGATGGGCTACGCCAAGGACTTGCTTTGGGGGGGAGTGGACTGAGTGGGCGAATGAAACAGTTCACCACATGATCTCAACAAACATCCATCAACGAGTCCTGAGAACGGGACAAGACAACACAACAGCAAATAAGTAAGTACCTGCGAAATCTGGCGCGCGGTCCAGTGCATTTTTCGGCATCCCGCAAAAACACCCTCCATACTGTATCGGACAGGTTGCATGGCCTGGAGAGCGGAGTCTTGATGGATTGATGCACTTCCTGTGTGCTCGATGCAGATCGTACGCCGAGAGATCCAGCTGGGATGCTCAAAGGTTTCCATTTCCACCGCGTGTTTGGTTGCAACCCACAGACCAACAAGCCTGAAATCACACTGAAATCATCGGACTATGGAGGACTTGAACAGATGCCCTTGCATGTACGGTTAGCGTGCCGTGTTGTCGTGCACGAGAGATGATACGTGGCGTTTTGCAATCCTCCCCCCATGTCATGGACCATGGATCATGGCTTGGAGTGCCATAGGACCATAAACCTGGCCTTTTCGGTTTGATTCATTGAGAGAGGATACCCCTCAAGTGTACAACCAAGAGGCATACCTGACCACCGACCCCGACAACCGCAGGACGAGCACTTCGTCTACATTGCCGGAACGCCTGGAGCCGGCTTCCACCGGCGGAGAAGCGACGGGTTCAGAGAAGGATCCCAGGTGGGTGTGCATTCTTTTGGGGTTCGTGAACTTGACCCGAAAATCAGCACTCCAGCTTCTTGGTCCACCTTTTTGGGGGTCCTTCCAATGTATTCTATCACTTTGTCTATAGGCAAAGCTTGGGCCTTTCTTCGAAGAGTTAGACACGCCACATTACGAAAGAATGAGGGGCAAAATGCGCTGCATATGAACTATAGGTCTAGGTGGGTGGGTGTGGGAAGTTGGTGCTGCAACGAGGCGCCAGCATGGTCGAGAGTCGTATCTTCTACATTGCTATGGCTTCATCCGCTATGGCTTTCACGAAAACCA